TATTGCGCGTTCATGCCATATGCTTAGGTTGCCTGTGATCTGCAAGACTTTTGGCACCTGCTCTTTCCCAGTGAAGAAATACTGCTCAGAGGCAGCACTGGCTTTGCAAGCAGCAGACACAGGTAGCACCCAGCAGATGTTCCGCTGTATGTGGGTCTCAGCAATCCTTCCAGGCACATTTTTTTTTTTTTTGTCTTAAAAATGTTTTTGATGATAAGAATCTTAGAAAATATCTGTCTCCATTTTTGGGAAATTGAGAAGAAATATAGCCATAATCCTGCTCTCCTAATTCACCATTATTATCAGGTTTGGGGACTAATTTCTAGTCTTTACCTACGCATCTCTTTGCATTTGTGTTCTAGTTCAAAAACATTGGCCAAGCCCCTAACATGTACTGGCTACAGATGCTGCTGGAGAACTTTGGAAAATTTGGGGATTGATACATTAAGCAAATAGTAAAGAGTTTAAATGTGATTTTTTTGAAAAATTAAAACAAATATGATTCTACTATGTAGTACAGGTTGAATATCCCTTATTCAAAGTGCTTGGATTTTTTTCCCCCATCTATTTGCATATATATGAGATATTGTGGGAATGGGAGACAAGTTCAAACACAAAATTCATTCATGTTTTATGTACACCAAATACATATAGCCTAAAGGTAATTTTATTTTTTGTATTTCTTTCATATATATTTAAATTGACACATAATTATTGTACATATTCACGGGGACAAAATGGCATTTCAATCAATGATACAGTGTGTAACGATCTGATCAGATAATTGGCACACCCACCACACATATTGTCTTTTCGTACCTTTCTGTACTATTTCACTTAAAGTAATGTCCTCCTGTCCCACCATGTTGTCTTAAAGGACAGAATTTCATTCTTCTTTGTGGATGAATAATATTCCATCATGTGTATGTGTGTGAGTTTGTGTGTGTGTGTGTGTGTGTGTGTGTGTGTGTATAACATTTTCTATATCCATTGTCCATTATAGACATGAAGGTAATTTTAGATACTATTTTTGATGTGACTACATTTTGACTATGATCTTTTGCTTGATGTCAGGTGTGGGATTTTTTACCTGTGGCATAATGTTGGCACTTAAAAATTTTATATTTTGGAAGACTTCAAAATTTCACATTAAGAATGTTCAACCTGTAGAATGGGAAAATTATCAAATTTTAATACAAACTGAGACTTCAAAGAGGGCTACATAGCTTCTGCATAAAGAAAGGAATAGATGCATCAGGGGCAGAAACCCCTGTGGATATCCTTATAAATGCTTGAGGTAGACGCCTTGGAAGATAATGAAAACCAAATGAAGTTGATGAATGAGGATCGAGAGGACAGTGGCAAGAAAGTTTTTGTTTGTTTGTTTGTTTTTCCAGGGATGGAACCCAGGGGCTCTTAACTACTTAGCCACATCCCCAGCAATTTTTTTATTTTTTATTTTTTAATTTTGAGGCAGGGTCTCACTAGGTTGCTTATATCCTTGCTAGGTTGCTGAGGCTGGCTTCAAATGTGTGATCCTCCTGTCTCAGCCTCCTGAGCGCTGGGATTACAGGCATGTGCTACAGTGCCCAGCTGAGAGAGAGGATCAGAGAGGATCATATAGAGTAGAGAGGACTTGCTGATTGGTGCAGATGGGGTGAGAGACAAAGGAAGGTGTTGATACTGTTGACTATTTTTTTTTTGGATAATTTCTAAAAATTAGGTTTGATGGCTCTTAAGCCACATTGCAGGACTTTGTCTTTGGCAATTGCCAAATGGTAACACAAATGGCCATTCAGCTATTAGCTCACATTGACTGAGTTCTCCTGTGTGCTGGGTATCTGCTGCCCTCTTTACGCACATTACCTCCTTGAACGTTTACGTCCCTCTGTGAAATAGGTTTTATTATTATAAGTCTTTTACAGATGGTTACGAAGAGAGCTAGGCAACCTGCCCAAGATTTAAACAGCTCTTCCTAGACCAGCACCCAGGTGGCTAAAACACTGGGAGGGTTATCTTTGAAGATGAAGGAATTTATGTGAATGCAAACAGCAACTGTTCCGTTTTCTTGAAGTTGTGTGTGAACATTTCTGCACAGTCCATCATGTGAGTCCACTTTCCATGGCTGTGTCAAAATTCTGGGTATAATCACCTTGGAAAGGGAAAACATTTATTCTGGCTCACGGTTTTGGGGATTTTAGTTCAGTATGAGCTGGCCCTATTACTCTGGGCCTGTGACGAGGCAGTATCTCATGGTGGGATTGTGCGGCAGAGGAAAGCTCATCTCATGACAGCCATGAAGCAGAAAGAAGAGGGTTCAGGGTTCCACTCTCCCCTTTAAGGGTACAATCCCCATGATCTACTTCTTCCCACTAAGCCTGACTCCATTACCTCCAATTAGGATCCCATTCTTGTGGTTCTACACGATGTGGACTTACACTGGTCGTGTATTCATATATGAACACAGGAAAGCTATGTCTGATTCATTCCACTGTTTTTCCTATTCCCGTCCCCCCCTCCCTTTTTTTCATTCCCAGCCATATCAATGTTCACAGCAGCTCAATTCACAAGAGCTAAGCTATGGAACCAATCTAGGTGCCCTTCAACAGATGAATGGATAAAGAAAATGTGGTACATATACACAATGGAATATTACTCAGCCACAAAGAAGAATGAAATTATGTCACTTGCTGATAAATGAATGGAACCAGAGATTATCATGCTAAGTGAAATAAGTCAATCTCCCAAAACCAAAGTCTGAATGTTCTCTCTGATATGTGGATGCTAACACACAATAAGCGGGGAGAGCTAGAGAATAGAAGTTCACTGGATTAGACAATAGAACAGGACTTTGAACCACATCTGTCCAACCCCAGTTGTTTCCTGGGTGTGGTGCTGCTGCCTGTAGTAACAGGGCCTGGGGAAGGAGACTGCTCTTGGCCTTTCTCAGTAGTTTTTGTCATAGCAGTAACAAACAGGAGGGGCATTTCTAGGGTGGCCCTAAGCGCCTGCATAGTGGCTAATAAAGAGCAGAGGCTCCAGAGACGCAGGGAGCTAAGGCTGGGCCTTTCACTTCCACATACTTGCTCTGTGCTTCGGGGAACTTTGCAGTATCTCATTGCATGGCAA